TGTTTGGGAGAAATTTATTTTGCCGAAATTTTTTGGTTGCTAAAATCTTCCCCCGCAAGGGGGGGGCTTTATTTGCGAAATTTTTTTTTTGGGGTTCTTCCCCCCCCAAGGGGGGGGCTTTATTTGCCGTATTTTTTTTTGAGGATCTTCCCCCAAGGGGGGGGCCCCAGGCCCATTTGGTGGGGCTGCTTTTCCCACCCGGGGGGCGGGGACATGAAACAGAAAAATTCCGTTTTTTTTTTTTTTTTTTCTTTGGGGGGGAGGGGGGGGGGGGCATAAATGTGTGCTTCCCCCCCCCCCCCCCCCGGTGAATGGTCAAGCACCCTCGAGGCAGTTGCACAGTGCTTACAACTGTCTCTGGAAGTGAAAGCATCAGAAAATAAATTAAGTCATACGTAGCTGTCATCCGTACGCAAGGAAGCAAGCACTAGATGCCGAACACCCTTAGCAGGATGCAGCTCACCCTTCATGCGACTCGCTAAATACCTCACGGCGCTTCGCGCTTGGTGATGTGAGAGCCTGGTCCGGTGAGAACCCGGCGTGCTCCGTCCCGGGTTTGTAGGGATGCGAGGTCAATGGTCTAACGACTACGGCATGCACGACTATGAGTACGCACACACACACACACACCCCGGTGCCTGGCGCGCCCGCACGGTAGTTGTGCAAGAGCGTCTTGAATAGTGTGTCCATTCGTCGTGTCTTGCTTTGGTTTGGTTTTTTGGTGTGAAACGTCCGAAGAGAGAGCGCTTCTGATAAGTACGACTTTGACCGTGAAGACTTGCTATGATATGTACGATAGCGACGACAGTTCTGCTATTGCAGTCCCTGAACCAATTCGAACTCTTTGGTGCTTGAAGGTGGGGGGGGTATGTAGCACCAACCACGACTCGTGTCTTGCTCCCCGCCCCCGACCTTCTCCATCCGTCACCCCACGCAACACACAGGAACCAAAAACACACACCACACACACAAAATAGAGCTCCCCCCCTGCATATCTCTCCTCCGTCCCGACATTGTAGGGATGCGAGGTCAATGGTCTTACGAGTTTTGCATGATGCGTTTACATGAGCACCCCCCCCCCGCCCCCCGTCGCCGCAGTTTCAGGCCTTCCCCCGGCTTCCCATATCGATACAAACATCGGCAAGCGGCTCCCCTGGGGGGAACTCGTGACGCAGCTCAAGACCATCAAGGCGTCCAACCCCCTGCGCGCCGTGGCCCGCGTTACTCTCGGGTGCCGGACCAAGCTAGGGAGCTTCCACAACCTCGGCAAGGTCGTGGGCGGCGTTGGGCTGACCCACCTCGACCTCACGCGCAGCTGGGGCGCGAAGAAGCTCGATTTCGCCGCCCTGGCCAAGGCGCTGCCCACCCTTAGGGGGCTGGCGGTGAGGGATGTCCTTCTTGCTTGGCTGGGGGGGGGGAGGGGGTGCTCGTAGTGGTGCATGCCGTAGTCGTTAGACCATTGACCTCGCATCCCTACAAAGCCGGGGGGGAAGGGGGGCGGGGGATCAAGGGTTCAAGGGTGGTGTTGTTATCCCTCCAAGGGGAGTGCAGCAAGCGCGAATGAGAATTTTGAGAAGGGGTGGATAGCGTTTCCTTCGTCAGTCGATAGAAAGCGCGCGGATCTGACGTGAGATTTGAGGGTTGCGATCGCTGCTCCTGGTTCTTTGCAGAGTCGGCATGCGTCTATCTTTGAAGGTATATTTTTCTTTTTTTGTCTCACCGTTCCGGACATTATTGTTTTTTTCAAGTCACCATACCCGAGGTTTGTTCCTGGAGTCGCCACTATGTGTCCGTGCCTACATTGTATCAGTTTCTCTTCCACACTGGAGTGCCTCTTCCGCCTCGTTCTTTATCGTCGTACTTCTGGCCATCGCTCTCCATCGCGCGTGTGTCGACCCAGAACACCTGTTCGCTTTGCGAGTGATCAAACCATGCCCGCTTGTTTTTGTTGAAAACTGTAGACGGCGGCGATGGTAAAATCCGCCCCTTTGCCTTCTTCTGCCCTCAAAAGGGGAGCAAAGAAGCGAGGGGGGAGAAGAGAAAGGGGTACCGCCGCGTACCTTACAATATGGTTTCGTGGGGACTCTCGCTGTGATGGTTTTGTGGCCTCCGTCTCTTCTTCGCAGGAAATTTCCCTGTACCCCCCCCCCCCCCATGGCACACCCCCCCCCCCCACAAGCCAAACACCACCGC